CCCCCCCCCCTAGTAGAAGTGCCAAAGGCACGAGGTGAGCGCCGTATATGCACGAGTTTTCTAGGGGTCCAGGGCATACTCACCCTGAAAATTTTTTAATCCAGATTCTCTGAAATGCCATTTCCCGGACTTTGCATGGGAGAGAGATTTTACTGCAGAATTCTGATGGTCAGAAAACGACATTGCGGTGACATATCAGAGACCCTGGCCAATGTTTTTGCTCTGCAGTCTGAGCCTGGGGCCCCCCATTTGGGCTGGGGGCCCCCGGGTTCGCCCGGTCCGAGCCCATAGTAGTTACGCCACTGAATATACTTAAAAGTAAACGTTCTATAGAACATCACGTCGGCGATTGACAGCTTCAAAACAACCTTGGTTTTTTGGTCTACGAATTACAATCATTTCGCACTACTTGGCTGGCGATGAACTTTGGACGAACTTTGGACTAGCGTACGTTGCATGTCAGTCGCTACCGCTGCTAGTACTCTTAGTTTGATTCTGACTGTGAGAGGTGGTGGATACTGACAATGTATTCGTTGCCGTTTGCGCCTGTGGCTGTGTCGATTTGACTGGTTTGTGTTTTCGACAACCATCATGATCGGTGAGCGAAACTAAAGACTTTACAACATTCTCAACAATAGATTGTACATCACGGCTTTATATGAATCAACGTTAACCATGAACCATCTCGATAATAAAAATCGTTATTAAATCACCTCTAAAGCATATAAATAATTTATATTTTTTGTCACCAATAGAAAACGTAGAAAATTTTCCTGATTATTGGGCCCGCGATCACCCCGGCGATTAGATCATTACTCATTTTATTTTATCAATTAAGGTGCAATTTGAATTTGTATGCCTACCCCCCGGAATGTAACAGTATGAGGAAATACTGCGCATTGTCTCATGATGTATCATGTGATATATCACATGGCACATATATTGTATTATAATATAGGTGGGATATAACATTGGGTAATATGCGTGATAGTAATACAAGTGGGATATAACACGTAACATTTGATGCGCTTACATTATAACGCCATAAAGCATTGTTTTGGTTTTTCAGTTTTTCTTTCTTTGTATCCGGTTTCTTGGAAAAACAAAAAACCGGATACATTTAAGGGCGCGTCTACTGTATGACGTACAAAGTATATTGGCTGCAGGGTTACCAGAAATATTATTATAATAATCTTTTGTTTTCTTTGTTCGAAACAAAGACATCAAAGGGCCGTTTATAACAATGTTTGGCTTATTTATTCAGCAATCTGGCAACCCTGATCGCTGTAACAGAAACAAAGCTAAATGCAAATTCAATTTCTGATATTGAACTACCTGGCTATAAATTCTATCGTGAGGATTCACAGCCTTTATGTTTCAGTTGTAGTATAAAATCGATCAATACCGAGAAATGAGTGATAAATTAATTCGGAGCTTGTTGAATCCTGTTGGGTTGAGATTGGATCCTGGTATTCCTTCAAAAAATCATATTATAATTGGTTGTATCTACAGTGTGTTTAAAAAAAACTGAACCCTTTCAAATTCAAATTAGCTATAACGTATTCGGTAGTAATTTGACAGCTCTAATTGCTTTGAATTGGTAAGAACACGAGGTCTTGTACTCATGGGACAAAACTCAAAGAAATAAAAATTAGAAAATTTAAAAGAAATACAGTATTTCTAGTTAAATTTTCTAATCAGTTTATTTCTTTGAGTTTTGTCACACAAGACCTTGTGTTCCGTTACTCAACCATTAATTAAAAGCAATTAGAGCTGTCAAATTACTACAATACGTTATAGCTAATTTGAATTTGAAAGGGTTCAGTTTTTTTTATACAGTACACACTCTATGGACAACCGGAAATCTGATGTTGAAAATTTTAATGAACAGCTGGAGCAGTTGCTCGGTCATTTGAATCAGGGTAATAAATACGATATTTATATTCTTGGTGATATGAATATCGATTTTATTACTATACCGGCGCCCACTCACACACCAACCGAAACATAGCATGTTTTAACTAGTACATAACATAGTTCAAATTATTCATATATTGGGTATTGCTCTGTTTGATGTTTCTGATCACCTTCCGATCAGTGGCGGCGCCAGGGGGGGGCAAGGGGAGGCAAATGCCCCCCCAAAATTATTTTTTGCCCCCCCCATTTTGCCCCCCCCCCCTCAAAAAAAAATATTTGTCACTAAGAGCGACTAAAGGCTACACAAGCGTTCTGTCGTTATCGGAAAATGTATGGCTTATAAGTTGTCATTACTCATTAGTGTATGCGTGTATACATGAAACTGTTTTTTACAGTTTCAATATTAGTTTGTAAATCTCTGAATGGTAAAACTTGCCAATACTCCAATAATACGTTTCAAAAAAAGACAAAAAAGCTTTAGTTTTTCAGAGTTAAATTCTCAAACGTGTAAGGCAATAATAAGATGAAAGTATCACGAAATTATTTGAATAAACCACATCGCATATATGGGGGGCGAATGTCCTAAAGAGGGGCGATATTCCTAGGGTATTCGTCCCACCCCCTGGGAGGCGATATTCCTAGGATATTCGCCCCCCGGGGGCAATATTCCTAGGAATATCGCCACGTTTTGAGGGGGGGGGGGCGAATTTCCCTGGGGGGAGACCTTTTTAAAAATTCTATCTTGCCCCCCCAAAATTTGAGTTTGCCCCTCAAATGCCCCCCCCCCCAAATTTGGAAGCCTGGCGCCGCCACTGCTTCCGATATTTTGTATTGCTAACATGATAGTAACATCAATTTGAAAAGAAACTGCTCGACGCTATCCTTTAGGGATTATAAGAATTTTAATAAACAACATTATTTAAATGTATGCATCAAACAGAATGAAATTCACTATTAAATGCAACATTTACATAAGGCCACAGACAATGTAATTAATACTATCAAAGGAATGGTCAACAAGCACATTGCCCTTCGCAAATTACCAAGAAGTTATCATAAACAAATCCTTAAACCATGGATTACTGATGGAATACTAACGGCGTCAATTAAGACTAAACCTCAAGGCAGGATACTTTATAACCGATAGAGCTATATACAGTGGCGGCGCCAGGGGGGGGGGGGGCAAGGGGGGGCAAATGCCCCCCCAAATTTTTTTTTTGCCCCCCCC